CGCAAAATCTATCTCTTGTCAGAGCCGTAACATTTTCTATAACTTTTGTAACTCACTATGAGCAGGAGCGAAGTTGTAGAAACGAGCACTTTCAATTGAATACTGCAACTCAAGCATCTTCAATTCATCCATTCATTTCTTTCCTTCTAGGGAAACTAGAACAACAGTTCTCATCTACTGCCCATAAATCTTCTCAAGATCGATATATGAACTTCAAAACGAAGAGTATGAGCGTCGATATTATGTTGAATAACCATTGCAGACGTGCTCAACAACAACAGGAAGCTTCAGTCGAGTTGAATAAACACATCATCCTTACATTGCTCGATTCCGCTCGTTATCTGGCTAGACAAGGGTTGACATTTCGGAAAGAGCCTGAAGAGGAAGGTATCTGTGTCTTTTTTTCCTGTGTTCGTTGTGAAATTCCTATTTCTTTTTGGGAAATTTTCTCCAGTTGAATCTTCTTCGCCGCGGCCATCGTGTTCTAGATAATTGGTGCATTCAAACAAAACTAAAACCGTACCATGTGAGTGTCAGCAGCATCCTTGCTCACTCTCGTTTCTTACTCATGATTATTCTATCTAACAGGTTACGTTCTTCGTCAATCAGTTGAGTCTACACCGTATGGCCTGCTTCTGCAAAATGCTGCTATCACTCGCTGGTCGACTAATTATGAGTCACTTCAGGCAATTTATGCGTCTCACAAACAAATTATTGACTGTTTGTTTCTCCATTCATTCCGGTTTCTTTACCTACTAGTAATATGAAAAGGATGTGGGATTGTTCGATGTTAATATCGACGCAGAGTTCACAAGATTACATCGTCCACGTCAGTATTCACGAAAAAATGACATGAATCTTTAGTCGGCTGTCAGTCTGTCTCGGTAAGATCTACCTTAGCATAAAACAGGCTTCAATCAGAGTAAAGTGCCGGCAATTCAAAAAGATAGCAAAATTCGTTTTCCCGACTTTTTGCCATAGATGGATAGAACTCATCGAGTTGCTTAGAAAAGGCTCAATTTAAGATTCTTCAAAGTCCTTTTTGGGTAAAAAACTTAAAAATATCGAGTTTTTAAAAATGGGCAAAAATCAGTGAAACTCAAAAAATATGCAAAACTTTTGTGCTTACTCTATTTTTAAAATTCGACAATTATTTTTTTCAAATTCAGCATACAAAACTACGTGTAAAAAACTGATTTTGACATTTTTGAAACCAAAAATGGTTTCGGAGTTCGCTGAACACGAACAAAACCATTCAGACACTCTCTACACTCTAAAGAAAACTTCTTTAGAAAAATGAAACTATATTTTTCATTCGTTCCAAACAGGAATCTGATGAGAGTTTTCTGAAAAATTGCAAAACTGATCTTTTCATTTTCCGGAAGAACAGAAACTGAGTTTTTCATTTTTGGAACATTTGTTTTCCATAAAACATTAGGTCGAAAAACACATTTGTTCTTCGCTTTTTTCAAAAAGCTGAATCTTATTCCTTCTTATCGCCAGTCAATTTTCAATACTATACCTGTGATCAGCTGTTGAAATATCTTTTATAAATACTGTTAACTGTAGACCTGCATGAGTGGAGAAAACTATGTAATCCACATTCTACCTCGATCGACGTTTGGAATCTGATTCCATCCGTATCGAATCAGATTTCAGACGTCGTACGTACTCGACTCGTAGGGTTCGAGTTTTTTTTAGAGTGCACTTACTCACAAAAGTCCCCCGTGGAAAAATTCGAAAAAATCAAAGGTGTTGAAAAATTCCAACACCCATACTTAACTTTTTTCCCACTGGTATGGTGATTATAAACACATAAAAAGCCAATTTTATTTTCTAATAAAAAAAATGAGATAGGTTTCCAGCATGCACAGAGGCACCGAATATCAGCACGGGCCGGGCTGGGCCAGAAAATTTTATAGAGTAGTCGGATCGGGCCGGGCTTGAGCGGCAGAGTATTTTGGTTGGGTCAGGCCGGGCCGAACTTAGAATTTTTAAGTATGCGTGGATTTGTAATTTATGTGTATACTCGGTATCGAGAAATCATAAAAATATAAATATTAACTTGAGAAATACATTTACACCGCTTAGTCAGCAAAAGCATTACAGGTGCAAGAAGAAAATCACGCAAAGTGGTCGGACCGGCTCAGAAAAATTTCAGGATTGGTCGGGTCGGGCCAAATAAATTTTACGTTTAGTCGAGCCGAGCCGGACTTGGTCCGGAAACTTTCATCATCGGGCCGGGCCAAAATTTTCGACCCGTGCGGACCTCTGAGAGGCATCTTACACTTTATCTTCTAGAGAACAATTCTATTTAAAACTGTTCCGAGAAATCATTGATCACCTCTATTTGACCTACAATGAATATTTGAAAACGATCAAAGAAAAACTTCGTTATTTTCATAATAGCATGCCCCGTAAAGTGCATCAATTCTCGCTCAGCGACGCCGACCATTTGTGTAAAATTGTTCCGAATTTGTCCAGACCTATTATTTACCGATTTCGAGCTGTTACGTAGCAGCATCGAAGAATGCTCGAACATGAACGAAATTGTCAACAAGCTGAAAATCGTTGGACCTACCTATCCACGTGCAAGATGAAAAAAACACTTTTGTGAATGTCCTTAATGACTGTTACGGTGAGGAATTACGTCAATTTACTATCGCAAACTACTCACTCTCAGTTGATGCACTTGTCGGCTCCGAACTTTTGAACTCTCCCGTAGTGAATCTACTCAACCCTGAGTACCAAGTCGTTCTCTGTCAAAAAATGCGATGAGTATTCGTGCATTATTCTACTCATGGAGTAGTTAGATGCGTACTCACGTGAGAGTATTGGGTATATGAATATGACTTTTGAGTACTTATGAACAAATGTGTGAGTAAGTCGTACTCATGTTATAAGTACTTTCACAAGAATAGTCCTCCGGATTACTAACCAATACTTATCAAAATTAGAGACAACAAAAAAAAAGATTTTATTTTAGCATCTTATGTTTTGATACTGACTATATACACAGATATAATCAACTCGCTTCAGGAACAAGCGAAAGTAAATAAAACTTAAATGTTTCTCTTGCTTGTCTAGTATAATGTGTTTTTAATTAACACAACAGCATCACAGTTATAGTTTCTTCCTTCATGGCTTAGATTTCAGTTTGGTTAAATTTTATTAACAGTTTTCAACTAATAGATTTAAAGAACGCGCCACTAAAGAATATAGCTTTTTAAACAATTTTAGCATCTTTTTCTGTAATTCATACCGAGGCGAACAAGAGACGTTACAACCATTAAATGCTTGTAGCATGTACAATCTGACAAGATTCTATTTTGTCAGATAGCTTGCATATTTACTTTTCTGTCATTTCATTAGTACATAGTAGAAGACAGAGACAAAATAGCAATCCTTTTGTTTAAAGTAAGCTCAGTGTTTCTTTAAAAAAGAGCTGCCAGTTAGCACGATAACAAAGGTGATCGATAATAAAAATAAACCTTGAAACACACATAAGTGGGAGAGGACAATGTTAAGAAAATTTTAAAGAACAAAATTCCGGAAGATTCGTCCCTGTCTTGCTAAAGATGCATTTCTGCCTGAAACATGTGCACTGTAAAATCATGTGTCGTAAGTGTGTACCTTACAGAAGAAGTTTATGATTTTGTTACATTCTAAACAAATATATCGAGTAGCGTTATTGCCCGGAATTGTTATTTGTTCTATAACAGTTGTTTCATAATCATTTTCTAAACTTTAAATTTCTCTACGTACATTTTGCAGTTTCTATTTACTTGCAAACTACTTTCGCTTGCTGTGTTTTTAGGAACGGTGCAGACAAGTGGATACGTTTATCTTTATGTATTTTTGATAATTAGTATTCAATAACTTTGGCGACGGTATTTAAATGGTATAATAAGTGAATACTTCATAATTTCATAATGTATAGACTGCAAACAAACATTGTGGACCCATATTGACCGTAGTGTACACATTCGCACTACATATGACAGTACTGGGAGAATTATGATTCATTTACTTTAACTATATCAATCGCATAGTCGATGATCGTTTATTTATCGTTTTGTGCGCGTACGAGTAAGAGTACAAACAGAGTGTGAAATATAGTGGGAGCAATGAGTATTTGTGCTATATCTCCCGAACGCTAACTCGTACAATATCTCGTCTGCTGAAAGGGCACACCCATACAGTAAAACAAACAAAAAGCCCGAAGAAACGACATTGATCAGATGAAGCGTTAATACAGAAGTGGCCCTTATAAAGTTTGAGTTTTGTGCGTTTTTCAAATGTCATTTTACTCAAATCTCGACCTGGCTCTAGCTATAGCTGCAAGTCCGGTTAAAAAAGATGCTTTTGTTATAAATATGCGTATGCATAAAAAGCAATACTAGTACTATGTCGTGCTAGTATTAGTGTTACTAAGTTCACCTTTTTCAGATTTTATTCCACTAAAATGATGTTTCATGCATTCATTGATTTTCATTGATAGAAAAATACACCAATGATATGCTTCTTTCGGTCGTGGTATGTGATAGCTTCTCAGAATTATATATGCTACTGTACTGTGCAAAAGTTGTTTTTTCTAGATCGATCTTAAATTAGAGACGTAATCCTTGAACGTTTAGCCAAATCAGAATAGTAAGGTATGTTTTTCTGTGAAATCAGAAGACTGATTGATTTTTTTTCTGTTGAATAATGATGCATTTTTAATAGAAGAAATTGACAATTTCCGATTTGCTAATTTTACTTCAAAGTATTTTCAACTATTCTAAGACAGGTTCACATTGACTATGAATTAATCATCATTCTGTTTTAAATTTAATTCTGCTTATTTTTCTTTTAGATGATTTTTGTATTATAGGTTTAATCGTAAACTTATTTTCAGACAAGAATACGGATTAGCCCTAACGTTATTAAACATTTTTCATTTTGGTCTTCTTTTTATTTCCAATTCTTGGTGCTAATTATTATTTAATTGCTCAAATAATATGACTGACGATTCAGCAAAAAGTGCCTTAACGACACCGAGTGATATGACAAAAAGTGTCTTTAATTATGAGCATCTTCTAACAAATTCGACTATAAATTCAATTAATTTTGGTGGATTAACTACAAGTGTCACGTCTAGCACATCTGACTATAATGATAATCACCACAACAATCGAAACAGTAGTTTATTTGATGGAATCGGAATGTGTGAGAGTATGACAGAAAGTTATTGTTCAGTAGCTACATCGGAATTAGGCGATGATGGGACAATAACAAATTCACCAGATACAACAATTACCACCAATGGTACACCTGGTCCAAAATTAGAAAAAAAAGATTCATCAGGAAAAAATATGTTAAAAAAACGACGTTCGAGACGAGCACAATATGATGCTGAAGGCCATTCTCCTCATCATCATGGTCTAGATAAAATTGAAATTGTCAATATTGAAGAACAAAACGAATTCGATACAAACAGTGACGAAAGCTGGTAATGAGATCAAATATTGTTACCTGTCCGAGAAAATCGACATTCCTTCTTTTTAGGCTATGCCAAGCACCAAGAAGTATCCGCGATCCATCACCAAATCTCATATCTTGGGTTCACAAAGAATTCAAATCAAACGATATATCTGCAACCAAACATCGTTTATTATGCAAATTAGATGATATGTCAAATGGTGAGTTAAAGCATTCAAGTTTGGATGGAATTTTCTAAGTGAAACTCTGTACTTTGATACTTCTTATACTTCAATTTAACATTAGAAAATTGTTTCTTATAGACAGTGATTTTAATATAACTCTGGTAGGAGAGAGGAAAGATTTTAGTCAGTAACGACGTGACATATACTCAAGTCAACATAGAAAAATAATAGTAGTTACTCACTACTTTGTAGTGCTCTAAAAAGCTGATTTAGTCACCGAAACCCATCTTTATCATACTTACTCAGTTGAAAAAATTTAACGTGCATTTCAACCCTTACTGCTGAACAACTTTTTTAAAGAGATGGATGAATTTCCTCTCCTCTTTCACTTTTCCTAATAGCGCTGCTCACAAATCCATGCACATCTGAACAATACGATAGTTTTTTTTATGCAATTAATCAACGAAAGTTCCTCATATTTTCTTTTACTTTAGCTCGCACAATAAGAAGTATGTCATGTCATAATTTTCCAGCTGGTCAAGAAAATGATGGTGTAAAACGAAGTAACACATCGGATGAGGTCAAACCAGGTAAGAAAAATTCTATACTTAAAATAAGAATTTTATTTACGTTTTTTATCAGTGTTTTATCACATAAGTGTTTTATATCAGTTAGGGAGAAGAAAAATATAAGGTTAGATAGTTTTGACTTTTCCAACAGTGCAATTGAATGATTTAATCCAGTTACTGAGACTATGTTTCAGTTTGTCGTTTACTTGGACTATAAACATCTAGTTATTTATAGTTAATTCGCTAACCGAACATGTCCAAAACTATTGGACCAATACTGTTCGTGAAAACGTTTTATATTTGCTTGAATTAATAAATCCTCTCGACAACCGACCACCCTTTTTGTCCATCAATGACAATAAATCGATCGATACAACAAAAATATTCCAATCTAATTCAGTGAGAAAACTGTCATTGAAAATGAGATTATTAACGTTGAGTATGGATAGTATCAATAGCACAAACGAAAATGATGATCGTTTATCAGCTTACGATAGTCTAGACGATGATAATGTACAAGAAAGTGATGTATGGAAAAATAAATGTTTACAAGAAAATATTTTAAAAGCAATTACAAACGAACGTTATGTCATTGAAAATTTAACAAAACAATGTAGTTTAATGAAAAAAGATAATTATCAATGTTCAATGGATAGTTTAGATCTAGAATGGGATGATGCCGTTGATACTCTTGATAACAATATAGACAGTTTAATTAACATCCGTAAGATGGCATGTTTGAACATTCGCAACCATAAAATGACGAAAAAAAGCATGATGATTCTATGCTATTATATTTTTGATTTGCTGTTCTCCCCTTTTCTTCTCGACTATGAAGAACTATTCATTTGCTTTTTATTTTGTAGCCAATTTGCATCCATTATTTATTTTGTTTTATCTTCAGTCGCATGCTATCAACAATAGAAATAACAAATATAATAAATTGTTTTATTTATTTCAGAATCAATCTCACAACAGCAGCGAACAGCATCACCTGGAGTTACAAATTCAAATACTAGACCTGTATCACCTGTACGTTTAAGTGGAACATCGCCATTAAGACATGGTTACACAATTAATCCTACATCGACTACAATTAGTTCAATAACAAGATCTCGAGATGTATCACGTGAAAGAGAATTATATGATTATACCGATGTTGAAGTAATGGCAAAGATACAACTAGAAAGTAAATAGAAAAAATATATTATTCATAAATTAAATTCTATGTTTATTTTTACATTTAGATCTACGGCAGTCTGAGAAACAAGGCCCATTATCAAAACGACATGGTACGTGTAACTTTGTCTACCATCTAAAAACAAATACTGCATGCAAACGCTTTTTATATTTATTGTGGTGACAATTTCTTTTTTTTTTTGCAGTTTAGAGTAAATTATCAGTCAGTGCTGATTAATAGTCTTATTCTAGTGTAATTGTAGAGAAAGATTGCTGCTATTGGGTTAATCTGTTTTATACACCTTTGTTTGCTATTTAGTTTAGGTCAAACAGACTGCTGTTAAAGAAATTCCGTTCCAGCCGCATTTAGAACTGTCCCTGAGCACATTAACGTAGTCAGATTGCAGGTTATTCTGTAGGTACGCTGCTAAGCTCCACAAAAAAAAAAACGTTTTTTTTTAACTTTCTATGAATAATTACTTTTAACTTTGTTACCTTTGTTCAAGAACATTCTCAAATGAGAAGATTAGTTGAAAAAATCAATATTGATCATCAGCACTGTGTAGCATGTTTTTAGCGACAAAACGAATGCTCTTTTTTTTTCATGCATGTATTTGTCTTTGTATTCAGCATATTACGATCCAAGATTAGATAGAATAACTAATGAATAAGCGACCGTTGTTTACTTTTGTTCAAAGTCATTATTCTTGCACGCTAAGTGTGTTCACCGTGTGTGTTTGTTGTGTTGAATGTTTATATTATTTCAGGCGGTAGTACAAATACTTTATTAGGTGGAGAATCTCGTGATTCTTCTCCAGCATCTGTATTTGCGGCTAATGTGAGTAATGATGACTATACCAAATACCAGCATAGTAGTACAAAAAGTCGTTTTGGAAATTCCCACAGTCCCGTTTCACGTCATACCAGTACTCATAGTGGTCAATCAACACCAAGGAGAAGTCATTCTCCAAATCCAAGTGCTAATGGCTATAAGCGAAAAAATTCATATGTCGTTACGGAATCACAATATGCCAATGTGCTACCATCTGTCTCACCTCGATCAGCATCTCCGGCAACACAGAACTGGAGTGGACGTGGCACGCCTACCATTCCTTCTCAGTTAGAAACTTGTCTTGAAACCTCCTACATAAACACTGACTCATTTGATGCCGATGATGATCAACAACAAATTCAATTAAATTCATACAGTTTACAAGGAGTGAATTCTACAAATGAACTCAATCGTACAGGTTCAATGACAAATTTTGCTTCTCTAGCAAAAAATAAATCAGGTGAAAATCTCTTATCGGGGGAATACAATCGCTTTTGATTTATAAAAATAACATGACATAATTATGTCACGCATATTACACTTGAGCTTAATTGTTTTAAAATTATTTTTCTTTATATTGCTGCATGTGTGTGTATCTGTGTGCATTTGCTCTCACATAACAAAAAACTCTGCTTTTGTTGCTTTTTTAATCCAATATCAATATATTGACCCATCCTGCTTTAAATTTTTTTGCAGGTGGTTCTAATATATCTTTGGCTTCAACAAATAGTCATGCTTCATCTAATAGTGGCCACAGAGCATCAGCTTCAAGTGAGTTTATTTTAAATAACAATAACAGTAATAACAAACGAAGTATAGCATCGGAAGTATATCACGGTATTGATTCTGTATTTGTGAGAGTTCCATATGCTAGATTATCGTAGGCATAAACAAATTTTTTCGGTTTTTTCTTCGGATTGTCAGCTTGTTGTTTTGGGTTATTTAATTTGATTTTGTGGATTGTCCATTTTTTCCGTTGATTGGTATCTTTATCTGAAAGAAGACAAGATTCGTCATCAAATTTTCATAGAATAACTGAACAATGATGAAATGGTAAACAAATATATCTAACTTATCAGCTTTAAAGTCTAGAGATCAGAACAGCGTTCATGTAGTAATATGAACGTTGTCCTTTAGGGAATATGAGTGATTTATATTTGTTGGCCTTATAAGTAGACGTTTGTGTATGAATTTTACATACTTGTTTCATTATACTTTTGACTATTCATGCCAATAATTTATAAAATTCACAAAACTGTTATTATTATTCAATTTCCTTGAACGTACATATAACTTCGTTGTTATTTTATATAAACTATGTGGGGCAGAAAACAGAAAAAAGAAAACATAGAAGTTTCTTTCTAGCAATGTTTGCTGTTCTATTGAAGCAGTGATTGTTTTTTTAATAAACTTTTGTTTATAAATTTACTATTTACTATCTCTTTTTGTTATTATTAATTGCTATTTATAGAAAATTAGTGTTGCATATCCTACAGTTTACAATTATACACGTCTTGCCCAACCTGTTCTTTTATAGAACAAATATAGTTATACCTGAGGAAAAGTGTTTTATAATGCATATTGTAGTCACATCAACGTGTATCTTATCAGTTTGACTACTTCAAATCTGACTTGACTGTTTAATCTTATTAAAAGAAATGCTTAAAGTCAAGAAAAATTATAATTGTCACAGCTGAAGCTTAAAAATGTTAAAGACAGTCAATGATCGATTAAAATAGAAGCTCTCGCTACTCTCGAGTAAAATTCGTCAGAGACAGGAATAATTGTTCTTTGTAGATTTGTCAAAAGGAAAAGTATTCTGTCAGGTTCCAGCATTTCTTGCTCTAAAAGTGATGCTCTGTTAACGATAAGCGAATAACAATGGTAAACACCAAATATGAGAAATTATGTAAATAAAATATATGGATGTTTTAAATACCAAGACAAAATCTATTCTAGGAATATTCTAGCATACTGAAAGAGCAAATAATTATAGTATACGTGTGTTGTTGTTGTTGTTTATAGCTAATGCTTTTAATCGGTGTTTATTTACGTTTTTTTCTGAACTCATAGATATTTGAATACTAATATAGAATTTAACTACATTTTTAGCAGTTCGTTCTTCTGTACCAAATAAGCCGCCAGCTGCTCCAAAGGCAGGCGTTAAGTAAGCTACTTTTCTTTTCTAGTTGAAATATTTTTCGAAAGGTCTATTGTTCATATTCTAGAACAAATGCAGGACCACCAAAACAAAATTATCGACGTTCAACAACACAAACAATTACGACTTCAAATAATTATAAAGTACCAGTTGTCGATAATGCTAATATGAAACTGAATAATGGTTTAGTGAATCAATCACGTTCAAATTTATTACCATCAAATCAAAGTAAACCACCAACAACAACAACTCGTCAATCATCTAATCGTCCTATATATCCTTATCGTGGTTCGCAAACACAAGGTAAGATTTTCGTTTTTTCTATTATCACATAGAGACTAATAAAATTAAATGTTTTTAGTCGCTACATACCCATCTCAAACAAACTACAATAATAATGCAAATGATATTCAATCCGTTAAACATCAACAGCCACCTGCTCCACCACAACGTGGCACAAAAGTTCAACAACCAAATTTCGGTTCTACATATACTACAAATCAATTAGCTGAAGCAACAGCTTATATAAATGAAAATAATTTATTAAGTGATGTAATTAATAAACCCGTTGTTCCTGTTCGTGCTGTATTACCACAAAGACGAACAATTCTTCCACAATCATCAGTACATTCATCTAATGAAAAACTACCGGCCACTAACGTTGAAACAAACGGTCATCATACGATGGATTCTGTGCCATCATCAACAATACCTCGTAGTTCATCAACATTGAGTCAAGGACGAAAAAGTGGACTACCGTTACCCGTGGGAAATCAACTGAAACGACCGAGCATTGCATCCGTTTCACGGTAATTATTAAAAAATTTTTTTCATACTTCAACTTCTACATATGAAGGTTTGAAATAGCACTTAGATTTTATTTTCTGGTATTGCTTAATCTATCACGTGCTTCTATTAAATCATATCTATTTGTTAATTACAGTCATCATTCTTTAACGCGTCCTCGATAAAATAAGAGAGGAGGACACTTCTGTAAGTAGTAGGTAGAAGCAACATAGAAGGTTAATTAATACGACTAACACTATTGAACAGTTCAAGCTAGTACAGAACATTTCTCTTGTACTTTATAGACGCATGTATTTTGCTCATTTTAATATAGATTGCTGCATGTGTTTATTTTTTTTTAAATTTTAAAACTATGTCTGTCATTTTATTTTGATATAAATTGATTCACGATCCTTTGTGAAAGGATATTCATTTGTCAGTAACATGTATCTTCTATGATATAAATCGACTCATTATTATTTTATGCTTAGATTTGAAGAAAAAAAAAAGACATATTCTTATATTTTGTACTACTCAGATGTCAATTTTTTTTGTTAGACAAAATTATTTCGATAAACGTATAAAATTTTCGAGATGTTTTAGTATCTAGACAATATATGAATTTTTTTTTATCGAATATAAATACTTTAAATTGTTTTTATTTTGTGTTTTTTTGTTTTTGTTTAGTTATTCATCTTCAAATACAATTCCATCCTCTCAATCATCAGACAGTGTTGGCATGTCTCAACCTTCCATTCAGCATCAACAACCACAAATACCTGATAATATGTCGCCATCCCAATCTTGGAACGAAGGATGTTATTAGTCAAAAGGAAAAAAAAACATTTTATAATCATGTTTTCTTTTGAATCTCTACTAATCTGTTACTCAATATCTGACAATTTGATCTGTTCATCGGTGACATTTCGCTTATCTCTTATATTTTGTTTTATTTTGTCTTTCTCTTAATAAAAAAAGTCACTTAATTGTACAGATCTTTGTTCATGTGAGCATGTGCATGTGTGTCTATGTGTGCGACTGCATTAAGAACTATTCATATATTTAAAAAAGATTTTGATCGAGTTTTTCTCTTTTTTTTTGCCACACATTCACTTCTTTTCCTTTTTTTTTATATCTCTGATAGTGCAATTTCTCGTTGTTTTGTCTTACTCATCTACGATATATTCTCAAAAATTAATTTGCAAAATTTTAAAATAAAACATATATCTATACAGTCAACTTTATTTTTATTTATATAATGTTGATTGATTATGATAATTTTTTTTGATAATAAGAAAAGATCATGTGTCATGGAAATTATTACGGTATATTTTGATATAATGAGCATCTTTTTTTCTTTTTGTATGAATTTTTTGTTTTTTGTGAAATTATGTGTTCTTATTGTATGTATATAGATCATACTGTGTTGTTCACGTCATTTTTCTATGTTTAGCCTAAAATTATTACTAATAGGTTCTATATATCTTACGTAAATAATGAATAACAGTTGTTTGTTTTTGTTTTTGGAATCTTTTTCTTTTGTTTCATTTTTTTTTTTCTAAAATTCGCATATATATTATTATTGAGTATCTTCAACAAAACAAAAAAAAAACGTCATATCTTAAATGAGAATATTGAGAAGAATACGAATGGTAATGCAAACTGGTAAGAGTGAATATCACATCGATTGTATCTATTTCAATATTGTGATCGATCAACTTAGTATGAGTTAACTTCATTCATTGAACTGATTTTAGATGTGTTGTGAAAAACAGATAAAATATATTCAAAGCTTATGATTGAAGAGGTTCACTTTTAAACTAATTTTTGAATGATATTTAGTAAATAATAAAAGTCAAAACTGGAACCTGTCAAAAAAATTTGTCATATTTAGAGTAAGATGATTTTCAGTTTATGAACTTTATAAAATTGTAGTAGTACAATTCACTTGTATTTTTCAAGATTGATAATAAGAAATATTTGAATCGTTATCAATTCTTTGGCAACATTTTCCTACTAATATTCATGGTTAAAGTTGATATATATATATATATATAATCGAAAAATAAAAATTTTAGATGTAGGATAAATATCCATTTTGAATTAAAAATAAATAATATTTCTTTAAACATTCTCCAAAGTTTATTTATTATCTAAATAAAATTTAGTTTTGACAAATTATGAATAACCAATCAAATACACCTCAAGTACGTTTAATTTATAAATTATATTTTAAAAATAATTTAATTACAATTATTTTTGTTTCAGTTTCGACTGACAAAAGAAGAGTCAGCCGTTATGGATAAATGTCGTACCGAAAGTTTTTGGTATCGATGTTCGTACTTAAATGTTTCTATTTAATTTTTTTTTCTAATCATTATTTGGTTTAGATACATAAAAATAGTTTTGTCTATTTATTTAGAAAAAAGTTTTAGACTAAAATAATACAGATTAGTAAAATATCTTTTCTTTTCAGCTGTTCCATTTTGTGCCATTACTGCAGCTGTTTTAACATGGGGTCGTATAAATAGTAAGTTTATACGATAAAACATTTTAATTGATTCAAATGAAATGTACATATCATTTTAGACAGGATTTCACCAAAGTTTTACGGTTTTAAAGTCTTTACAGGCATAACATTCGGTATGTATTAGTAATTATTTGTTCTTTTTAAATAATATATTCATCTTATTTTTTTCTTATTATTTTTTAGCATATGCTTTGGGAAAAATATCCTATATAACTACTTGTAGAAAAAAAATATTAGAACAATTACCTGATAGTAATTTAGCACGAGCTGTATTAAATCAACAAAATCCTTATAGTCGTGAGTTTGTACAAGATATTGTTCAACCACCACAACTTGTTCCTAGTTCAATTTATACGACTGATGAATCAGATGATGAACATCATGTACAACAAAAATTATTACCAGGTTAATCAATGATATATAGCTTAATTTAATATGTTTATCTGATATCTTATTTTTTGATAGTTGAAACTCCTAGAGAAGATGAAAAACGATATTATACATACGATGAGTTACGAAAGAAAAATCGTGAAGAATATGACAGTCGTTTTCGCGGAACAAAACAAAAGAATGGTATGTATAATGATGTAAAGACTATTGATAGTGTATTCCCATTGTAAACATTTTTCTAGGCACTACATCAACGAATGAAAGAAACATCGTTGTAAAATCACCTGAACCACCATCTCGGTTGGAAGATCGGTCTAATTCACGTTTACCGACACAATTTCCAACTGCGACTGTTGATGATAGTATTGAAAGGATAAATCGAAAAGATGGAAAAAAGATTCGTCGGAATCAATATGGAGACGAAGTATACGAATGAAATCATGTAAAAACAAACTTTTGACTTATTACTGTAAATTTTATAGTACTATTTTTTTTTTTGTCCAACTATTGTTGTTCCCTGCGATATTTACTAGTCTTGCTATATTCATTTTTTTTACGTATTTTTTTGTTGAAAAAATGGATCTACATTACATTTGGATCTGGATGCATTTGTTCGGATAACACAAGCAAACAAGTTAGTGTTCGTACGCTGAAGTATTGTTCACTTATGTGCTATTCAAAATCATATCGCATTAATGATAATTTTTTCTGTTCTGAACGATTCTTTATCAAATATTTTGCATTGAGTTCATACTGCATGTCGTTCATTTTGTTCGTAAAGTATTTTCAACCAAAATACTTTTGTCATGTGTTTCACTACTTTCGTTACTACTATCAGATGATTCTAAACTATTTTCATTCTTATTTTGGATCAGCTTCGATACATTTGTGAAAGATGTTTCTTCTGACGTATTTGATGTTGTTGTTGTTTCATCATGGTCTTTCTTTTTCATTGTCGTTTTCTCCCGAGTTTCTGGCCGATTATTACTTTTTATCATTTGATTTTTTATCTTTCGTTTTTGCTTGTTATTATTACTATCAGTCTCCGAGTCACTCTTATTTACTCTGTCTAATTCAAGTTTTTTCTTTAACAGAGAATGGATCTGACGTTTTTCAATGGGATTTCCTTTTCTACGATAAATGTGACGTACAAGTGGTGTTTTATGTTTGACAATCGGCTCAACTTTTTTTCTCATTTTACGTCGATTTCGATCTGAATATTGTAAATCAATAGAATCGTCTTCGTTCACATCATTTTTTTTTGTGGTTTTACTTGTTCCCACAATCGACTCATTGCTGATCGACCTGTTCATGTGCTTTCTGTGTTTTTGGTTTCGTCTGAATGAGGAATGATAACGACAATTTTTTGATAGTTTGGATGTTGTATGAAGAGAACTCAAGAGTTTATTTAGTAAATCAGGTGGTATTCGTACTTTCATTCGTGGTAAATGGAAATGTGTTTTATCATTGTTGTTATTATTATTTGTCATATATTGCTGTTGTTGCTGTTCAGCCAATGTTTCGATTAGACGTTGCGGTAGACGCAACATGATGATAGTTGAAGTTAAAGATTTCTTTTTATCTAATTGTCTTTTCTTTAATTTTTCTTTCATACATTGACTGTTTTCTCGATGATTCAAATTTATCTTACTGTTAGATTTTTGTAGTGTCGATCGTTCGTGTTTTGAAGAAGAAACAAGAAGTCTAAAATATAGAAATCCGTCAAAACTGAAATCTGACACTTATCTTCCACATCAAAATTAAAGCCGCGTACAATTGTTCATCTACCAAAGCTGTTTCATTTTTATCATCATCGTTCTTCTCTATTTTTGGATCACTTTTCCTATTTCCTAATACATTATTCTCTCGTATAAAATGTTTTTGTTTAGCATTGTACATGGCGATAATACGTTCAATAACGTCTTTTGGTATATTATCATACATTATTGGTGATATTTGACTATATACAGAACAATTATTTTTATCTCTTTTTTCACATGAGGATGGATATGTTCTATTAGGCATAGATGTTTTGGGTTTTGAAGTTGACTTCATTTCACACTTTTCATGTATAAATGGTAATTCTTCATAATAATTCTGATTTTGAGAATATTTATTAACCTCATTATTTCTGTTTTTCTGATGATTGATCATATTTATGCAAGAAAATGGTAAATTTGCATTTGCAATAGAATTTGTTTTAGGTGACCAACGTTGAGAAAATTCATTTTCTACCTCTTGTTTATAATCAGTATTTGTCTGTTGATAATAATTATGCTCTTTTGATATTTGTTTGCGTGATTTTTCTGCTCGATACAATCGTATCATCGAAGAGTAGTCTTGCTCTGATTCTATGCTTTTGGTATTTGTTGTGCTGTCGTTATCACTTGGACTTTGACTATTACTATTTTTACTATGAAATATATGCATTTTTTGTTGAGAATGATGGAGGTGGCGATGCGTTCTGTGAGACCATTTTTTTTCATCTCGATGCTTAGTCATATTATTATTATTAACACCTTTAGGCAGAGAGAAAGAATAAGGCTACTTTGAACGAAGTTAAGATATAGAAATAGTGTTAAAAAAACTTTCAGGAAATAATTTTTATCAGTAAATATAAAGAAAACAATTGGAATCCAAAACTCGCCTATGCTGTTTGTATAGGTAGGTCTTTGAAATTACCATTATTATTGGTCTCATCTTGTAATTGTAGAAGATGAACTTTTGTACGATAATAAGCACACTCGTTTGATTTTAATTCAATGAATTTTTCTAATAGTGTTAAACGATTTAATAAATCATCGTTGGGAGTAGACATTGTCTTGACTAATTGTCTCTTCCAACAATGGTATAACTACTTAAGAGTTTGAGCTAAAATGCATTTAAATAGTGTTTTAGCACTAAATGATACATGTCATTCTTTAGGAAGCCTAGAGTATCAAACTAAACTATAGAAGATCATAATTTATTGTACTTATTTAATTAATAGATATGTATTTGAAAATTAATTAGGCGTACTTTTGGCGCGGTAGGAATAAAAAAATACTGCCTCAAAGAAATTAATTAATAGTAGAGTGAATCCTTTTGAATAACTTTAATTTTCGGATCTCTGAAGGTCCGATTTTTGAACTCCGATTTAGAAACTGAAATTGGATCAAAACGGACTTCATATTCGTAATCAGCACCGTCGATTATATTTAAGAACAGTAATTTCAAAGTTAAAATGATTAATCACTTGGGATGGTTTCCTAGTTAGAAGTTAATTATAATCAATTTATTTTGACTAATTTTATCCAGTTAATCATTGATTATATTGTCTTTATTATTCTATATTTGGCCTTTACATTAGGAGATAAACAGTTTATCCGAAAATCAACAACAAATTTACTCTTCTACGAAATCAGATTATCAAATTTGCTGATGGCATACTGTGTTACGTGATAGAATGCATGAGTCCTTTTTATTACCTCCTTAAATAATATTAGCAAGATTTAATGAGTCTCAACACCAGACGATCTTTAATCGCGGTTAACTTTAATCATCTCTATTGAAAAAAGGATCATGATAGCGGCGCTTGCATACGACTACTCAACTGCAATAACTAATCAGCCAAAAGTCTGTTTTGCCTACTAAAGAATTTTTCTGACATTACTATATTTTGTTACAGAT